AGTAACATGATTGCAGGCTCTTCTCATATTGGCAAACTCTCTTTCTGTTCGAAAGTGTCTTCTGTTTTTTTTCAAGTGGTTTGTATCGCCTCTGGACTACAGGAAGGAGTAACAGATAGTGTCCCATACAATTATGTGTTTTCATTAAATTTCTCATGAGAACCTAAGTAAAGTATGCTGATTAAAGTGACAGGTGGAATCGAAAGGGCCTCAAAGATTTAAAGATAAAAATCACCTAAATTATGAATATATAGAGGTGCCTTGGTTCACAAACTTAATTTGTTCTGCAATCTTGTCTTTTTTGGGAACCGGAAATTGAACTCAAGACCTTGCACTTGCCAGGCAAATGCTGTGCCACTGAGCTATATCCCTAGCCCTTAATTGTACATACTGTGCTTTTATTTTTTGGCTACCAGGAATGGAACTCAGGACCTTGTGCTTGCCCACCAGGCACCTGTGCCGCTGAGCTATATCCCCGGCCCCATTGCAATTTTGTTTTTGTTTTTGTTTTTTCGGTTTTTCTCCGGTACTGGGAACCGAACTCACGACCTTGCGCTTGCCAAGCAGGCGCTTTTGCCGCTGAGCTAAATCCCCAGCCCCCCCATTGCAATTTTGAATAAGGTGGCCACATTGATGTTTATGTGGCAAAGATAGCTGCAGCAGTATTTGTCACTGGATGCAGAGTTTGTAAACAAAACAAAATTTTACCAAACACTTCAGTTTGTGAACAAAATCATTCACGAACCAAGGCACCACGGTATCCCATTCATCTGAAAAAGGGTCACATGTACAAGGACATAACTAAAAAAGGTGGCATAGAAAGTAGCGCAGAGGGGCTGGGGATTTAGCTCAGCGGCAAAAGCGCCTGCCTGGCAAGCGCAAGGTCATGAGTTCGGTTCCCGGTACCGGAGAAAAACCAAAAAAAAAAAAAAAAAGAAAAAGTAGCGCAGAAAGTCAACCACAAAAGTAACTGCAGTAGAAGTGGCAAAGAGAAGGGTGGAGGGCAGTAGAAAAACCCTTTCTTTTAAGGAGGACCAAGGATTTAGCACAAAGCTGCAGTGGAACTTCACTGAAGAATGTACGTGTTAAGGACACATACACTCACGCACATGCACACACAGACGTGACTTATTCAGAAAACAGGGAATATTATTGAAAACAAATTTAGAAAATCTGGCCGTGATACCTCAGAGGCTACACAGTGTGCCCCTTTGAGATCTGGTGTGTGACCTTCCCAACTCACTAGCATCTCTGTTCTGTTTCAGACACAGAGCCAAAGATTCAAAGTCACACAAGAAAAAATCACGTCTACCATTCACCCAGCCAACATTTATTAAGTACGCATCACACACTAGATAACGTTTTAGCAGCTGGAGAAATGACAGTGAAGTTAAGAGAAAATGTTCTGCTTTCAGGAAATGTATTAGTGTACAGCTACACACAAAATATAGATAATTATAAATGTACCAGATATTAATTAATGCAAGGAAGGAAGATAATACCCCCCAACACCAGTGTTATCCCAGGGATCGCCTCAGCTGCGGAGAGCCACTTCCCCACCGAGCACAGCGATGTTCCTTCCCAGGGGACCCACGCCCAGTGACTAACTGGTGCGGAAAGGTAAGGGTCTGGCCACCTCAGTCCACCCGGTGACGCTCTGAAGAGCCAGTGTAGCTCTGGAGTCCTGCCCTGAGTCAGTGGAAGCTGTTACAGTGCTTACAATACAGCTCAACTTTCTCTCTCTCTCTCTCTCCCTCTCTCTTTCTCTCTGCCTGTTTCTGCTTTGTCTTCCCAAGGGTACTTGCTATAACTCTCCTGAACACGAAGCTTCACTTCAGACCATGCCTCACAGGTCACCTAATCTGTGACAGAATCCAGAGTATTCTGGAAAAGCAGGTAATAAGAGGTTTTGAAGCTTAATTGCTCACACACAAGCTGGCAATGAGGACCCATCACTGGTTGCAAATGAAGCGTACAGAATCCCTGGCACACGGTGGGAGCCCAACTATTAAAGTCCTCTCAGGAGCTGAGGTGAGATAATATAGCAAAGAATAAAATATGTGAAGTAGAATAATATTTCAGATGTTTGGAGAAATAGTAAGTGTGAGAACAGTGGAAAAACATCATCCCCAAGTAGAGATCCAGCCATTGCCAATATGAAAGCCAGAAGGCCCTTCTCATCGATACCAAGATATATTCAGATTCTGTAGCTCTGGCCAGAGGGAGGTGATGACAGGAACTTGGCTTCATCATTAGAGTAGTCAAGCTCTAACGTCAAACTCTAAAACTCTACTTTTAGAGCAGTGAAGCCCTAAAACTTCACCAAGGACATATCTGCCGATCAAGAGCCCTGGATGCAAACACTGAAATCCTACTTCAAGGGATGGTCTGAGTTGATGTCTCCAAAAACCTTGAAGATCCACATTCTGTAGAACCTACTGACCCCACAAAGTAACCTTCCCCTCCTTTCTTGCAGTGAGAACAGTGACTTGTCCCCAATAAAACACGTGCCCCTCTGACTCCCAACTGCCCCTTCCTCCCCTACAAATCCCTAGACCCAAATATAACCCATCTGGGACACTGAAGGGCTGATGAAGAAGTGACTGTATCTCAAAGGAATTACAAGAACTAAATAGCTTGTATTAGCCAGGGGAGTAAACACGGGAGTAAATTCTGACGGTATCTGATTAAAGGGGCTAGAACTTAAGAATGTATGAGGGATACTTTATTTATCTTCAGGCACTTTTTTGACATGTAGAATTTAACTGCTGGCAGGAAACCCAAGAGACAATACAAACCGGCTACCAGGATGGTTCAAAGAAACATGAACAAACTAAGTCTCATACTAAGTACTGCATGTCTGAACTACCAGAAATGGTAGCAGAAGAGAGAGTTACAAAACTCCAAAGAGTGGGCATTCTGGAACACATATACAACGTAAGGCCGGAGAACTTGTCAGGGGCTTACGATCCATAACAAGGACCAGAAAACACACCATTTTTCAACCCGTAAGGAACGTGCTAGTGAGAAGACTCACATTACTAAAAAGTTTAGTGGTGGCCCTCTTCTGAAGGCTAGAATGGACAGAAGAAAAGGCTGATATGTAACTCAGGTTACTCGTCCCCAGTGAGGGCGATAGGACCAGGTGAAGAAGCTTAAACACTAGATGGGTGGGTTAAGTATCATACAGTCCCAAGGAGCCAGAGAGGGAGAAGGAAAGGGCGGAGGAAGGAGGAGGACAGTGGGAAAGAGGGAGAAGAGACAGAGACAGACAGACACAGAGACAGAGAGACTAAGATTCCACCCAAAGACTTACTGAGACAGAACAGAATGTCGTCCGCATCCCTACAGGTAAATTAGACAGCTAACATGCTACTACTCCGTATGTGCCCTCAACAGAAATCGAGGGTAAATGTCCACAAAGTTGAGAGTAGTTGCCCCAATGAAGTCACAAGCTCTGATTCAATTTCCAAACTTCATCTAATTTTTTGACCCTGAACTCGAAGACTGGAAAAGAGGCCTAATTTCCACAAGAAAGGACCCTGCAACAAGATGGCAAGCACATAGAATAATAACGTCCCGATCAGTCTTTCTCTAAAGAGACCTGCAAATTTTTGTTCAGGTAAGTGGCCAGGTAAAAAAAATACCTCTTGAGAGCTACTGGGCACAGAGCTGACGGTAGAGAGATCTGAAACAGCAACAGCCCTTCTCTTCCTCTTCCCTAATGAGAGTAGGCACAACAGAGGCCAATAATAAAGGGGCCCCAGCCGTGGTGTAGTTCATCACGGGTTCGGGAGGACCACAGACCCAGCTGGTGATAGCTCCTCAGACTGCAAACAAAATCGCATCCTTACGTTATGCTTAGTAAACATGCCATAACATCTATATCAAGTCCTTGGCTAAAAGGTAAGAGCTACCATTGTAGCGAAAACCAAGGGGAAAAATCTGAAGCTGCTCTACCCCAACCCTGCCATAACAGTACGTTTATAAACCAACAGCAATTAAGAGTTCCCTTAAAAATTTAAACAGCATGGGCAGTGGGGACAACAAGTTATCCAACAAAGTATGTGATTTTAAAAAGTAGCCCACAAGAACTGACAGATATACTCTGCCCTAAAATACTGGGTAATGAGAGATTCACTACACGATAAGCATTGTGCAAACTGATGAAAGCACTTTCTGCTGTAAGACACAATTTCTTAAAAATAGTAAATGTTATAAACAGAAATCAGTCACAGCTGATTTTAGTAAGGTAACTTATGAAAAACCAAGGCCAACATGAATATTTTAAAACAGCGCAGTGCCTCTGTACTCACACATTAACAAAATAGGTGATTGTCAGTTGGTGTGACAAAATTTTCTCAGAATACCATAACAAAATTATGGTGGGAGTCTGTGAAGAAAAAAATGAAAACTTTCACGGTAGCACTTGACCCACAGTGAAACATTAACTATATTAATGAAAATACAATACTGCATTTTATTCAAATACTGTAATTAATTAAGATTCAGGGGTTAGGACTGGACACCCTGCCTCTTATTACAGACCCCTACATCATACCATCACACTCTTCTCCTCACTGCTTCTTCTGCTTCTTCCACCACAAGAGCCAAGATACCACCTACATATGACTGAAGCACCCAGCAAACGAGGTACAGACTGCCAAAAGGAAGCCTTCTCTTGTTTACATGTACTGCCCCCGGTTACAGCCTCCTTCCTTGTACATTTCAACAGCCACAGGTTCTAAAGGTTCTGGAAAGAAAAGGTATTTAGGAGAGAGCAACAGAGATGCCTTTGTTTGGGAAAGACACATGTTGAGCATTAGGCCAGTAGCAGCTGTGAGTAGGTACACAGAGAGAGAGGAGATTGAAATCACGGCAATCACTTCTAATTATTAAACCACACTGAATCAAACTTGGATTTTTTTAAAAGTTAAATTACTTTACCTTTAGATGTTCGAAATTTAATTCAAATGTACCTAAAATAAAAATATACCTACTTGGAAGAAACTGCCTCCATGAATTCATCCAAAAAGTCATCATAGTCTGGACCTCTCACTCTTCTCTGCCGTAGTCCAATGTACAGTGGGTCACTGAGTAACTCCTACAATAAAAAAAAGGTTCCATAAAAATAGGCCAGTAATTTACTCTTCCTAAACTTATTTATCTATAAAAGGAGCAGAAATAGAAATAAAATCTTGTGACATTCACTCACAATTAACCTACAAATTTATTATTTAATGTTACATTGAATACACCTATATTTATATGAAAAATAAAAAACAATTGCTAAATGCCAAAAATATTCAGTTTTCTGAGGAAAATAAAAGGAAATAAGATCTCTCAGTGGTGCTAATCAGAAAAGTTTAACTCAGACTTTACAGGCAAAATTTATCACAAAGAAAAAACGTTGAGTTTTGAAGTATTACATTAGCTTAATAAATGGAAAAATAGCAATTTTTAAAAATTTCTTTTCAATTTTCAAACTCTTGGAACAACATTTTGATTATGCCTTTAAATATGAAATTGGTCAATTTTACAAAGAAAATATTTTAAGTTTGAGTTATTGTTTAAAATTTAACATTGTTAAAGTTTACACAGTTTAAATTGTTTCTTAAACTGATTATGTCTGGGACAACATTGCTCTTATTCAAGTTTTAGTATGTACAATATTTAATGTTAATTAATAAATCACTTTTAAATTGCGATATAGTTTACCTTCAGCAAAATGCACCAAGTAATAGCAAAAATTCTCAGTAAACTAGGAATGAAAAGAAACATCAATCCAGGGAAAAACATCTGTGAAAAATCCACAGCTGACAGCATATCACAATGAGTCTGAATGCTGTTCTCTTCAGATAAAGACAATGCAAAATAGTCTGTCTTCACCACTTTTCAACACTATACTAGAGATGCTAGCCATTATGATAAAGCAAGAAAATAAGAATGCAGATGGAAAAGGGAAGAATTAAGGCTAGCATTTGAAAAAAATGAATTACTTAGGAATCAATCTAACAAAGGAAGTAAAACATCTCTACACTGAAAACTACAGTACTCTGAAAAAGGAGATTGAAGAGAATATCAGAAAATGGAAAGATATCTATTCCTCTTGGATAGGAAGAACCAACATAGAGGAAATGGCCATATTCCCAAATTGTTATACAAATTTAATGCAATCCCAATCAAAATACCATTAGCATACCTTTCAGAACTAGAGAAAACAATCCTAAAATTCATGTGGAACGAAAAGAGACCTAGACTAGCAAAAGCAATTCTGGGCAACAGAAGCAAGGCAGGGAGCATCACAATCCCTGACTTGAAATTATACTACAGAGCTACTGTGATAAGAACAGCATGGTACTAGCAAAAAAAAAGACCTGAGGATCAGTGGAACAGATTAGAAGATGCAGAAATAAATCCAAACATACCCAGCCACCTTATCACTGACAAAGGGGCCAAACACTGGAAGAAACATGGCCTCTTTAATAAATGGTGCTGGAAAAACTGGCCCTCTACATGCTGAAGACTAAAACTAGATCAATATCTTTCACCATGCACCAAACAAAATCAAAATGGATCAAAGAAACACTCAACCTGCTGAAAGATACAACAGGTAGAACTGCTGGAAGATACTGTTGTAAGCAAAGACTTCATGGACAAAACCCTGACTGCATGGGAAATACTACAAAGAATCAACTGGGATCTCATCTTAATAAAATGCTTTGCACAGGAAAAAAATCACCAACAAAGTGAAAAAGACATCCCACAGAGCAGGAAGTAATTTTAGCCAGTTGCTCCTCAGACAAAGGACTAATATCCAGAACATATAAATAACTGAAAAGAATCAGAACACCCCAAATTTAAAGACCCAATCCAAAAATGAGTATCTGAGTGAATACACACTTTGCAGACAAAGAAGCAGAAATGGCAAATAAATTATAAAAAAAGACTTCAACATCAGTGGTCATCTGAGAAATGCAAATTAAAACAACAGTGGGTTCCTTCTCACTCCAGAAAGAATGGCTATTACCAACAAATCAACCAGTAATAAATGCTGGTGGGGGTATGAAAAAAAAGGAACCCTTCTCCATTGCTGGGAACACAGACTGGTGCAACCACTGTGGAAATCAGCATGGAGATTCCTTAAAGAACTAGGATTAGAAGTCCCATTCAACCCACTACTCTCCTTTTTTGTATCTTCCCAAAAGAACTAAAAGCATCATACCACAGCAATATATATGTACCCATACTTAAAATAGCACAATTTGTAATCATTATATCTTGGAAATAATCCCAATGCCAATCAACTGATGAATGCATAAAAAAGACGTGATGTTTTTATATAATGGAGACAACACAGCCATAAAGAAGGAAATTTGAGACATTTACAGCTCAATCGATGGACTGTGAGACCATACTCTTAAGTGAAATAAATCAGACAAATGTGTAAATATTGCTCTTAAGTGAAATAAATCAGACAAACTTGTAAATATTGCACTGTCAGGTGTGAGAGACTAAAAGTCTATGTAAGGACCAAGATGCCTAACAGATATTGTGAAATAGGAAGAAACTGTTCAACAGAAAAGGCGAACTGGGGGGGTGGGAAGGAAGAGAAAACAACAAATGAGAAAAGAAGGATGAAACAGAAACAAAGCTTTATAAATGAGGGGAAGAAGGGTTAAAGAGCAGGGCAGGGAATGGGAAAAAGGAGAAATCAAGATGTATCTTGTACAGGTACAAATTCCCTATGATAAATGTGGTCATCATATATATCTAAATGGTACCAAGAAACTTAATAAGAAAAAATAAAAGAAGTTATAGCCAAGTTGACACCTACTGTCATTGTGTAATTATTAACAGCAGCACTCCCTCTCCCTGCGAAAGCATCTTGATCTGGCCAATACACTTACTTACAATGTACTATACAATAATGAGTTAAAGCTATCTGACTAGCTACAGGTTAACATGTTAAATCACAATAATATTTCCAAGATGAACTACAAAATCTGAAACCAAGTGCTGTGGTAGAGCCTCGCTGTTTCCTAAGACATGAAATCATTAACCAATCTCCTGGCAGGCTTCTGAGCAGCCAAGGTTGAAGTCCCAATGTGCTACTAAATTCCTGCCAAAAGTAAAATAATTTCTTCATGTCTGGAATATGTTGAGACTTCTAAAATGTGAATTAAAAAAAGAACACAGTTAAGAAAACACGTTACATGTTTCCTCTTCTCTTTTCTACCATTCTTTCCCAACTAACAAACTGATACCATAAAGATATCTGTTTACTATATATTCACCAACATTTATGGAAAAGATAGGGCTTCTGAATTAAATCAGAATGTTAGAAAACTCTTCCAATAATAATAACGTGCCTGTCAAAAGCAATTTTTTTAGTTTCAAAGTTTTAACTAAGAAAATTGAAGATGAGAACTGAAAAGTGAGTACATTTTTGAAAATTTGACTGACAAAAAATTAATATATATACAGAAAGCAACTTAACAAGAATATTCTTTTTTTTTTGGGTTTTTTTCCAGTACCAGGAATCAAACTCACAGCCTCACGCTTACCAGGCAGGCACTGTGCCACTGAGCTAAATCCCCAGCCCTCAAGAATATTCAATTTTTATAATGGCTTCACGGACCAAGTAACCTGGCACCAATAGCAGTGATACTAACTCACAGGATTAAGAACGTCTTGTGGTTAGAAGTCAATACTCAACAGATCTTTGATGTAGAATAAATTAAAGACTTAGCCTTAAGCAAGCACTTAGAAAAGGTTGGATTATCTTTAGCGCCAGGCGTCACACTAAATCACATGGTGCCACTGGAGACTTAGGAACAAGCACAAGAGACAGGAAAATGTTAGGAAAAAAGAGTTAGAAACAAAGCAGGCAGAAATAATAGAGCTCAAAAAATCAGACGAGGTTATGTGTTGACAAGTCTACTAATTATCTTACTGTCAATGCATCAACTCAGAACCCTTGGGAATTTGGATTTGAAGCATTTCTTCATTTGAAACTAACAGTAACCATTACCAACTCTCCCTTTGTTCTTGTTTCTCATATTTCTATTCTTACAATTTGAAGTTTCTTAGAATTAAAAAATATTTATTAATATTTTATTTTTTACATGAAAAAAGCAACATTTGCCTACCAGAAAAGTTTAAGAATACTAAAAACTAAAATTAAAAACAAATACCAATATGCATATTCTTCTAGATCCTTTTCTCTACATTTATGCATGTATATTATTTGTCCAAATTTGAAGTAATAGCATAGACTATGCTATACTCCTTTCTCACATAGCACTATGGGGTGAAAGTTTTCATGTTATATTAAACTCTGTCCGTCTACATAGAATGAACAAGTTATCCCCCATGGTATATAAGTCTATCTATTTTGTTGTAGCCACCAGTAAAATATTATATTTTCATATATACTCTGTGTGAAATATAAATATATGATACATTTGTATCATACCTGCTCTCTGTGGGTAGATAAGGCAGCACAAAAATCCCCTTTAAATACCAGCAAATTAAATCTCCCACAATAGTTTTAATGCCCAAAACTACTCAAACCACTAACTATCCGTGATGGTGAGCCCGTGGCACGTAATGAGAGACAAGTCACCATGTCGTTCTTTTCTAAATTAAAACCTCAGGGTCAGGTTTAATTGCAGTCCTGGCACTTGGTGATAAATAAGTGGGTTCTGGGTCACAGTCTGGGCACTTGACTATGACATAATTAATAGTGCTATACTATAGACAGTCTTCTAAAAGGTATTTTTTATCAATGCCATTTTCTTTATCATTACTCAGAAAGTGCTTGCATATGCAATCAGAAAAACAAGAGGGATATAACTGAGGAGAAAAGACAAAATTATCATTACTGATAGGTTATACCTTTATCTATTGATGAAAGAAAATCAACTAAAGGCACTGTGACAAAATCAGAGTAATTTATTTTAAAAATCTGCAAAAATAAACAGCTTTGCTATGTACTCACAAAAGCCAGTTAGCAAAAAGGAACTCATTCACAGCAGCAATAATATCGTATTCTGCTAATGTTATGTGATATCCAACCTGCCAGGCAAGTCCTCTGCCAGGTAGCTACATCCCTAGCCAAAAAAAAAAACAGAAATCCTAATGTTCAATGTACATTTATAATATTAGCAAAACTGTTTAAAGAGATCACTTTTAATCATTTAAAGGCCATATCTATGGGTATGGAAAACAAAAATGGCAGAGAACAACCTATTTTTACCAAAATATATCCTTTGATAAAAATTAAATGACCATTTACATGTAGATGATGTTCAAAATTATAAACTTATATGTATAAGATAAAGAGTGTAATTGTTTAAAGTACTATCTGACTTTAAGATCGTAAAATACTGATACAGGAATAAAAAAAGCTAACTTTTAAACCACCTAGGTTCAATACAGACTTTCAGAACAAGAAGATTTCATGCTAATTAAATTCTACAGGATTAATTTCTATATAATGGGAAAATAATAATTAAAAAGGAAACTACGCTATCTTGATTTTTTTTTCTTGGGACCGGGAATCGAACTCAGGACCTTGCGCTTGCCAGGCAGGCATTTGTGCGGCTGAGCTATATCCCCGGCCCTAATTATGTTATCTTAAAGTAAAACATATGCTGCAGAGAAATGGTGTAAATGCTTTCCAAAGCACCCTAAAAGACTAAGGAAGCTAATAAAACAGAATCATATAACACAGTAGGGGAAAGGAGAATGGAAAGAATGACTTTCTCTTGGAAATTCAGGGGCAGATTCAGGGACTGAGGGAAAAGCAGAAAAGGAAGGATAAACTCTGTAAAGTTTCTCAAATAATTTTCATAGTAAGATCCAAATGCAGTGCCATTTTTAAAGGTGCCATCTTTAAAGGTATGCACCTGTTTTACATACTGAACATGTTACCTCATTTTCTGTGCCCACATCCAGAGTGATAGGCAGGCACTGCTGTGGATTCACACCTCCGCACGCTGTGTACAATGCCAATTTACCCACAGGG